GTTCATCCATGCAGGCCTCCTGGCGTTTTTGCCTGACTTCCTCTTTGTTGGGATGCATCGCTCCTGAGCTTGAAGGAGGTGATCCTTGAATATCACCCAGCTTTCTTGGGCCCCTCTTCCCTCCAGGGCTTTGTCCCATGGCACTCTACGAAGCAGATCCCTGAAGAGGCCAAAGTCTGCTCTCCTGAAGTCCAGGGTAGTGAGCTTGCTGTGTGCCCTCCTCGGTGCCCTAAGGATCTTGAACTCCACCATTTCATGGTCACTGCAGCCCAGGCTGCCCTTGAGCTTCACCTTAATGAGATTGAAATGTGATACACACATACGTAAAGATGGAATTATTTATGACCCTGATTTCATGGCCAGCAGGTACGGACTGCATCAGGCTGTCAGGGCAGGAGCCATGTTCTTCAGTCAAGAACTTGTGCTGAAAATTTTGTCATGAGCTCCAGGGTGCAACTTGCAGGCATAAGCCCAAGCCCTTAGATCGTATCTATCCATTCAAAAAGAAGGCCATTTGAGTTAATTGGGTCCAATGTGTAATACATTCTGAGAGGAGTAAGCAGATATGCACATGACACTTAATAGGAGTCAGTTTTACTAACAGAATGGTTTTCAGGTAGCTAAATCAAAACTAAGGGTATTTTGTAAGTATACTTCTGTTCCTTAGTATTTGAACAAAAAAAACTGCTACTGATTTTTCTTTGTAAGATTCAAGTAGGCATCCTACCTCACTTAGATAATGTTGAGGCTACCTGATAAACTTCAGTTTCCAAATGATTGTACTGAAAAGTGCTTAGTGCTTCTAAGAACCTGTGAGGGAGCTGTTCTACAGTGAAATATGTAATCTGGGTGAGATGGTCACCCCTGGCAAGACACTTAACACTTCAGCTGAAATAATTTTCTTAATGCTTACAGGTACTCACTTTCACTAAAAGATTTCTTGATTTAGCTTAAAGCTCTGGACTGAGTATCTTTTTGCTTCAGTTGTAAATAAGGAAAAGTTGCACTGAAGCTAGCAAGGTTGTGGTGGTTTAAAACTGCTGTAAATAAGATCAGAGTTAAGCCAATAACAAGTCTCTTGAGACTAAAACTGCTAAACTCTAGACACCTTTGAGCTATGATGCTAGAGACCATTTCTTAAGAGGTCAGGACTGGCTTCTCAAAGGCCACCTGTTTCCAGTGTGGACTCTAAAACCTGAGCAGATTACAGGGAAAGGTTGTGAACTCTGAGACACAGCCACTACTGTTGCTTAAACAGAGACTTCTTCCTAAGTGGCAGTTGACTGCAGCTGCTATTTTTTAGTATACTTACACAAGTTCAGACTTGCTTTAGATGGCCTAAAAGACTGGAGAGCCTGAGTACGAAAGAAGATTGCCTGATATTTTGAAGATTGCACTCCTTACGCATGCTGGTGTTGCTGGCTCCAATATTGATACCTATGGCAAAGATGATCATGTCCTTAACGCTTTTAACTTTGCCTTCCTTTCCATTCTCTAGGGAAGAAGTAAATGACAAATTACGAGACATGCCAGATGGAACATTCCTGGTGCGTGATGCATCAACCAAGATGCAGGGAGACTACACTCTGACATTACGGTAAGCACTGAGCAGTTGTAGTAAAACCCTGAGTAGCTAGTTGCTATACCAGTGACAGCAGTGGCTGTGTAAAGCTGACGTGGCTCAAGTTGAGAGACATTCCCAAAGGTACTGCAGATCACAGAATGAGCAAATAAATAGCCAGGTCTGATAGTCGGTTCTGTTCTGTTCATTGAATCCTGTCCCTCACTAAACACTACTGTAAGGATCTCTGTGTAGATTAGATGGGACTCGAGGAGGAGAGCCACTCAGTAGTGCTTCATAGTTTCAGAACTGCTAAGGTAAAAGGTATTTATAAACTAGGGCTTTGATTAATAGGAGTGTGTTGAATATCTTGTCAGTGTGCAGCTCTGGAGAATTGAACAGTGTCTTTGTAAAAAGAGTATCTTGTGCTTTCTGATCTAAAGTTTAGGAAATATTGAATTGGAGCCATGTTCCTTCATTAAAATTGTCTGCAAGTGGCAGACTTCCCAGAGCTGCCCCAGCCCTGTCTACTGCAGTTAGGCAGCAGACCTCATGTGACTAGCTGCTGGTACCTTGCCCAGCCTGTCCAGCCGCTTGCCTCTGCCAGGCTCCCAAGATTGGTTGCTAGAGGCAAACGGGCAAGGTGCATGAGCCGCTGCCTCTGTAGCACACCTTTGGGAGTTACTATGATATGGTAGATATTTGATCTTGCCGTGAAATTCCATTGTCTTAATGGCAGGTTTGACCCCAAGGGTGTAGTTTAAATTCTGCTTTGACTTCTGCCTTGAAGTTCACGGCTTGTGCACTAAGGTTTGGCATGATTTGGTTATTTTGCTGAATGCAGATGTCTTTAGGAACCAAAATTGAGAGTGCAGGAAGGACAGGATATTGTCTAAACAGTCTGCTGGTGAAAAAAGGAAGAAATAAGCACTATATTTGTGGAAACCGCTAGAATGTATAAATCTGGATAATGTAAAATCCTAAACTTACAACGATCTTGTAATCCTCAAAGGGTTTTGTTTAGGTTTGTGTATCCTGTCTTAGCATCCATAACTCAAAAGACTTGTTAATCACTGTATAAATGTATACTCAGTTGTATACTATTAGTGACCCCAAATTGCAGGAAATTGTGGGTTTGGGTTTTCATATGGCTCCTTTATTCAGCCTTCAGCATCCTCCTTTTCCCTTGCAAAACTTCTGGCAAAGCTAGGTCTTAAATACCATAAGCTGGCTCCAGAATGAA